GTGCCCCGAAGAGGTGTCGGGTGCCCAAGGACTTTTGCACGCAGCCATGGGCGGCATCGGGGAGCCCGGCGGGGGTCCGGGGCCGCGCGAGGGGCCGGCGCAGCTTGGGGCGACGCTGCCCACCTTCTGCTGGGAGCAGATCCGCCCGCACGACCTGCCAGGCGACAAAAGTCATCGAGCCGTCTACGACATCAGCCGCTGGGCACAGCGGCACCCGGGGGGCAGCCGCCTCATCGGCCACCACGGCGGTGAGGACGCCACGGTAAGGAAGCCCATCGCTGGCGCTCGCTGGGGCCTGATCGTGAGCAGTGTGCCCAGCCTTGCCTGCGCGGCCTTAGCATCCTCCCTGCTCTCGCTGACCTTTGACCTTCGGTCGGGGACGCCGAGTTGGGATGGACTAGCCAGGGCCTGATGTGAGGTAGGGAGGCCACGTCTCTGCGTGAAGGACCGCACATGGGGCTGGGCTGGAGCAGGTCTGTGCTGGAGGAAGGGGCTCTCAGAGGTGGGTGTGTCGTGGCAGAAAGAGCCTGTCCCAGGAGACCGGCCTCCCTGCTGTTCTGGGGTTTCTCCTCCCAGTTCTGGGTCCCCCAGACCAGGTCCTTCACACTTGCTGGGAGCTAGGGGTAGGGCGAGGTCCCTGGGGGCAGGGTAAGGCTGTTCCATCAGGGGCCGGGGACTGGGCAGCAAAGGTTGGGCAGGACTCAGAGGTATGTGGCTTGTCTAAGAGCTCCTGTAAAGGGCAGTGAGGACTGGTGACTCACCTCTCCTGGGCTGGCAGCTGCATGTGGGAGAACTTTGCCAGCCAGGCTAGGTGGGCCTCCTTGGGAAGCACAGTCACTCCAGGAACAGGCTGGCCCCTGGGGACCCTGACTTTCCCTTCCCAGCCCAGGTCTAGACATGTCTTGGCCAAGGAGGGACGTGGCCTGGTCCAGGGGGAACATCTAGTGGTGAAACAGCCTGTTGGGCCCCCTCACCAGCGCTTTTCCCGCGGTCCCACTGGGAGGGTAGGAGTTGGGGCCACAATGCTCTGTCCCTGACCATCCAAAAATCTGAGTTGGCTGCCCTGGGTACTAGGAGGTCTTAAAGATCCCAGGGGATGAATCGCTAACTGGCAGAACTTTAGGCAGCAAAAGAGATGGTATCTCTATGGCCAGGCCACCTGCTCTCTGCCCACTGCCTTCTCCCATGTGTTGGACAATCTTCACAAGACTCTTTCTGAAGGAAAAGGTCTTTATTCCCCACTTCTGCTTTAGGAAGCTGAGGGATTAGGGTCAGAAGCCTCCTAAAATTCTAGAAAGCGACAGGAAGCCTTGTCCTTAGGTGCCGAGGGGCTGGGTATGGCCACGGAGTTGAAGCTGACCGTGGGCCAATGAGGCGGAGCCACATGTGCGAACACTGTGTGTATCTCTGTGTGTGGTTGTGTGTGTGTGCATTTCTGCCAGGGTGTGGGGAGTACGAGGTGCCACACCTCCTCCCTTGTCCTGGCCGAGCCCTAGCCACCCTTCGAGGATTCTATGGGTGTCTCCTCTGGCCTTTTCCAACCTCTGACCCGTGGAAGAGGGTGGAGGCAGACTTGAGGAAGGCGAAGACGACAGAGGGCGTTCGTTGACCATTTTTTCTTCTTTGGTGCCCAGACTTGTGCTGGGGACCTTTTCACGTGCGAACCCCGTTATACAGTTAGCTTTCGACCCTGAGACCTCCATCTGACAGTTTTCTCATTTGATTCATATTGATTCATCACGAATAAAGTCTGTTTCTCGTTTCCAAAAAACAATCTGTCTGTTCCCTGGGGCTGGGTTCTGTCTTAGCCGTTGGATGCTCTGAGTGACCTTGAACCAGGCACGTCATTCCTCTGAGCCTCAGTCTCCCTCTCTGTAAAGTGGGGAGAGCTGGGCCAGACAGCAAGCTGGCTGAGGACAGGATGGGGACTTGTCAACTCTGTGGTCCCAGGCCTGCCATGGTCAATATATGTTGCTGGCTGATAAGTGTGGATGTGCCCTATCAACTGTATAGTATATTGGGACAGCCATGGCATAGCCACCCCTTTGCTGGGTGACCTTGTCTGGTTCTACCCATGTCTGTAACAAGGAAGAGTTGCATTAGGCCACCTCTTAGCTTCCTCAAGGCCCGAAACACTGGGCTGGAGTTGCCAGAAATACCTGGTCTGCTCAGGCCAAAGGAGTTATGAAGTGGCTGGGGGTGGGGGACCCCAATATTTCCACAATTGGCTCACAGAGCAGATGAGGTATTAGACCAGCCCTGTGTCCTGTGCGGTCAAGGCCAGACCCTAGGCGTCCCATCCCGGGCCCTAGAATGTAGGTGGGGGTGGGGCAGCTGTCTTGCAGCTACCTCCACCAGCCCTGGCCGCCCATCAGCTGTTCTCATGTCCAGGCAACAGAAGCCTTCCTGCCAGGAAATTCCCAGAGTTCCTGTGCCATTAAGTCAGCTTGTGGCCATCCTGGGATACAAAGCCCGTACCCTGGGGAAAATGCTCTGGGCCCTGGGCCAGATTTGTCTAAGAGTCATAGGCGGCTTGAGACAAGTGGAGCCAGCCAGGGAGGGGCGAGGCCTGGCCGCTGCTGGTCAGAGACATACCAGGGCCAGGCACCGAGCACTCACTGTGTGCCAAGCTCCAAAGGCAGATTTATAGGTACTCTCTTTTAATCCTCAGGATACCCCTATGAGGCAGGTACTATTGTCATTCTCACTTTAGAGATGAGAAAACTGAGGCTCAGAGAGGCAAGGTGACTTGAAATTAAAAGAAAGGTCTGGGATTTCGACCCACAGCCCATGCTCTTAACCACATGCTCTACTGAGACTTAGCTTTTTTATTCCATTCATTCGCTCTTTGATTTTTGGTTCATTAAACCCATCGGCAGATATTCAGTGAACATATCCCATGTGCCAAACTCTGTTCTTACCTCTGAAGATTTCACTGTGATCAAAACCTCTGCAAGGAGAGAGTTCCTTGGCAGAGGGACCAGCTAGAGCAGAGGCTTGGAGGTGGGACCCTGCTCCACGCAGTCAAGGAATAGCAAGGCTATCCATGTGGCTGGAGTCGAGCGGAGGGGAGAGGGGCAAGTGGTGAGGTCCAGAGGTAGCAGGGGCTGGGGGCCTTGCAGGGCAGAGCAGGGAAGCCAGAGAAATCTGATATAGATTTAATCTGTTAGGGGAGGCCACTCAGAAAAGATGGCGTTCACTTGAGCCCTGAAGGGCAGGCATAGCCAGAGCAGAGGACAAGAGATGCTATGAGGCAGGCTCCCAGCTGGAGCCGTTGGGATTTCGCTCAGCGTGGCCTTCAGACAACAACCTAATGAGGCAGATGCTAGCGTTAGCCCATTTTGCAGATGAGGAGACTGAGGTTGAATATGGGTGATGTGAAGGGATCCTCTTAGGGCCTTTGAACGGCAGAGCCTTTCTTCTTGGGCTTGGAGGGTCAGGCGTGTGTGTGTGTGGGAGCTGGGGAGAGGCAGGGTAGGTCCCGAGGCTCTGGAGGGAGAGGGGGCCCCAGAGGGGGCCCCAGAGGGGACTGGCTGTGAATGCAGGGGACCTGGTGCCAGAGCTCACCCTTCGCCACCACCAGCCACGCTGGCTTCCTTGAAAGCCCTGCTGCCTATGGCCACTCCCCATGTCTGTGACCTCTCTGGGCTCTGCAGGCATTCTCTGCAATGTCCCCACCTTCCAGGCCCCTTCCCAGGGGAGCTGCAGTGGCCTATGCCCTGGGGGAGGAGTCAGGATTGCCTGGCACTGGGCAGGAACACGGTGTCCAGAGGCAGGGGCGCTAGCAGCCCGAGGACGCTGGCAGCCCTCTCCTTCCTTCTCCGGCGTCCCAAGCTGCCGTGGTTTCTCACGAAACGGCTGGGAAGAGCCAGAGCCTAATGGTGGAGAAAGGACCAAGTGCCAGAGGGCCTGGCCGCTTCGGGGCCACCGCTGGATCAGTGACACTAGTGAGGCCAAGGGTGTTGGGAGGACGAGGGCCTGACATGTGTGCCAGCCTGTCACCAGGGACACCAACAGTGCCGGGAGACGAGGGTGGCTTCCTGGGGGCATCTGTCCGAGCACAGAGCTGGGCTCTGTGCACGGGCAGGGGTTGGATGTGACATATGCAGAGCTGTGTGTCCTTCGGCCTCTTCATGCCTCAGTTTCCTCATCTATAAAATGGGGAGAGGGACAGTGCTTCCCCGTTGGCCTCCTGTGAGCCGTGCCAGGGTGAGGACGAGAAGGAGCCTCTGAGTGCTGGGCCTGAGCTCCTAACCTGTCTTTCTACCTGGGAGAGGGAGGGAGGGAGGAATTCCCGGGGAGTCCTCGGAGGCGTGTCCCCCAACCCCTCATCTCTCCACCCCACTGCCACCTTCTCAGCAAAGCCCGAACGAGCAGACCCAGACTACCCCAGCAGCCCTGCTCCACCTTTTTTCTGATCTGGAACATTCCCGATTCTTTGGAGAGTGACCAGAAATGCTCCCCTGCCCCCACCGCGTCTCTGGATAAAAGGAGGCCAGCAGCCCTCCTGTTCCCTCAGCTTCAGGCTGGCCAGGACTTGACCTACAGGGTGCACGCAACCTCTGCTACAGCCTGTCACACCATGTCACGCCCGGAGGTCCACCCTTCGTGGGCACGGAATCCGAGTGGACTCGGGAGGAGGTGCCTCAGGCTGGGGGTGCTCCGATCAGAGCTCGGCTCTGGGGTGCTCGCCGGATGCCAGGCCCCTTCCACGTGCTCCCCCTGCACTGACTGGGTCCTCCCCCGCCAGGCCCACGAGGCGGATATTCGTGGTTCCTGATTTACTGACAGAAAGATACAGAACGGAGGGATGACGTGATCTGTGGCTCCATGGCCAGCTCATCGGTGGCGGCTCAGGGTCCATCCCCGCAGACTGGCTCCAGCAGCACCCCCGCAACCCCCACATCTTGACCGGCTGCTGCACAGAGCTCAGGGCTGGGGAGCAGGGCAGGAGCCACTCCGAGGGACCAAGGCAGGGCTGGGTGGTAGCTGTATCCCAGGAGCGCATGGACGTCACAGATGATGGACCTGGTTTCGGTCCCAGCTCTACCTCTGCGAACTGTGACCTGGGCAGGTGTCCCCACCATGCGGAGCCTCTGTTCCCTCAGCAGTAAAATGGTTCACGTCCTTGCCCTGTGGGCTGTAGAGGGTTGGCTCTTGTCTGCGTACTCATACCTACTCCCCAGTCCCTGCTCTGAGGCACCACCACAAACATAAGCCACCAGCAGCTTATGTTTAGGGGCACAATTTTTTATTCCTGCACTTTGACCCAACTCTGTTCCAAGACCCAGCGAGACACCTTGAGTGCCACCTTTGCCTTCTTAGGCGGAAGGGTTACGGGGTTTGCACACATCACTAAGAGGACGCTTCCGAGTGGAGCCGGGGCAGGTGAAGGCGAGGTCTCCTTCCAGGCCCTGAAACTTGGCCAGTGCAGCCTCAGGAGCACCAGGACCTCTCTCCTGTCCCCCATAGCCCAGTTTCCAAGCAGCTGGGTCCTTAGCTGCTTGGGACGGTGACCAGCCTCATGGTGAGGACACCACCTAGGAGGTCCACGGCCTCCCCTCTGGCCCAGGAGTGGCCACCCCAGAGCTACTGCCAAGTGGCCCGCACACAGTCATACAGCCAGACTGGGTTCTGGTCCAGCCGCCATCGGATGGAGCTGGGTAAGTGGCTTAACTGCTCTGAGTCTTCTGCTCAGCCCTGGAGTCCTTAAGCGGAGGTCCAGAGAGGACTCCATCCCAGAGCCTCAGCCGGTGTTTCAGAAAAAAACTATTTGCCAGTGCATCAGGTTTAGGTCTGAGGCCAGGGACTCACTTTGCCGGGCTGGGAGCACAGGAGGCTCAGGCTCAGTGCTGCCCGCCCTGCTCTCCAAGGGCCTGCCCAGCCCAGCCCGGCCCCTCCCAACAGCTGCAGCCGGGGGCCCTGAGGGGGTCACACCTCCCCCTTGTCACTCCCTTCAAGGGATAGACCTAGCGGGAGGTCCCTGGGAGGTTGGGGGGCTGGCCTGATTTTGTACCCCCCTCAGTGCAACCCTAGGCCTGGAGGAAAGGAAAGCAGAAAGCACCTGCTCTGGCAGCTCCTCAGCTCAAGGGCTGGGGCAGCTGGGCCCTGGGGGCTGCGGGGGGCCCCCCGGAACCCAGAACCGACACAGAGGATGGGAAAGAGGAAGGGCTGGAGGCAGGAAATCCTGGGGTCGTAGCCACAGCACTTGCTTTCTGCGCTGAGTTTGTGTGCACGGGTGCGTGCGAGGCTGAGTCTGCTTGAGCGTGCGTGGGCTCTGTGTGTGTGTGTGTCTGTGTCTGTGTCTGTGTGGCTGAGTCTCAGTGCCCAGGTGGGTAGTGGGTACGTCTGCCTGTCTGAAGGCACACGCATCAGACACTGGCTGCGTTTCCATGACACGTGGGCACCTCGGGGCGGTCCTCGTGAGTGAGCGTGTGTGCCTCTGGGCAGGTGTGGGTTCTTTGTGCTGCCAGGGGAGTTTCAGAGGAAATGAGGGGATCAGAGTCGATGCTGGTTTGGCTTCAAAAAGGAAGTAAATTTGATGCAGGCTACAGCGTGGATGAACCTTGAGGACACTGTGCTAAGTGACCAGTTAATCAAAAAAGAACAAATATTGTATGATTCCTCTTCTATGAGGTCCCTAGAGTAGTCACATTTATAGACAGAAAGCAGAGCTATGGGTACCAGCGGCTGGGGGAGGGCGAGGGGGAGTTAGTGTTTCATGGGGACAGCGTTTAGTTGGGGAAGATGAAAAAGTTCTGAAGATGGGGGTGATGGCCGCCCGACAATACGAATACACTTAATGCCACTGAACTGTACACTTAAAAATCTCTAAAATGGTAAATTTTATATCTGTTCTACTCCAGTTAAAAAATTAAGGAAAAGAAAAAGTTAGCTGTCCAGAGCCAGAATGGTACTGGAGTCTTACCCCCTAGACCTGTCCCCTGGGTTTACCTAGTCCCAGGCAGGAGAATGGACTCGCTCAAGGTCACAGTGAGTGGGGTCAGCTGAGCCCCAAGAGCAGTCTTCCCTCCCAGCTCCCTTGCCAAAGCCCACTGCTCGCTAGCAGGGCGGGGTCCCTGCGGGGCCAGCCTCCCCTCCAGCCCCTCCCTCCCAGGTATGTTACCACTCTGTCAAGGTTCTTCCAGGAGAGGAGGAAGTCTGCACTCACACAGCACCCTCCCGTGTCAGGGACGCCAAGGCGTCCTCCCTTGGGAAGGAGCCACAAGGCTGCCGACCTGGGGGCCTAGGTTATTCCAGAAGCCACACCCTCTCGGCCCCTCTAATCCCCAGGCTGCCCTGGGCCAGTAAAAGAGCAGGTAACGGGACAGGGGACCCCTTAGGTGGATCCTGTAGGTGTGGCCTCTAAGTGGGAGCTAGGGGGTGACTAAGCTGCTTCCTTCCCTTAGGACTGTGTGGGATGTCTGGCCGTAGGTACAGGGACCTGACTGTCACTTCCGTTTTGACACCCACCGGAAGCTGATAGGCTCATTCGTGAGGGGGTAATAGGTTGCCCCTGTTCTTAGTAAGCCTTCTTCAAAGCTATTTCCTTTAGCAGGAATCAGTCACCTTCCCCTGGCCCGCAAGGACACCATTCTAGACACTGCCGCTTCAGTTCAGGGTGGCTATGGCTAGCCGCTTCAGAGAGAGCCTCTGAAAGCCCAAGGATAAAAATCAGTTGAAGAGCTGTGAACAGTAATGAGCCAGTTATACCAAGATTAGATCACGAAAAACTAAATGAGACCCCCCGGTGTGAAGTTCAAGTTTCCCGACAGTTCAGAACTGCCCGGGCTATTTCCTGACTGGGTCTTTCCTCAGCCCTTTATCTTTGTTCCTGTCTTTTTCTTCCGGTAACCCCTTCTCCTGAATTGCACCCCACCCCACCGTGCTATTACAGAGAACGTTAGATTATTTATTT